AATGGCCGAATCTGCGAAAGCCAGCAGGAGCGGGAGGAGAATAGTTGGGTCCGTTTTTTTTCTTCTGGTTATCTAGATCTCTGGTGCCCTCTTGAGGCATTTGTCTTATTTCATCAAACCGTAAGCTTAAAGCATCAGACAAGCTCAATGCATATAAACCATTAGTTGATTTTATTAAAACACATAGGGTGTGTCTATATATGGAAAAATAAACTTGTTTTTTGGAACACTTTACATGTGACATTTTACAATTGAAAACATATGTTTTTGGAACATTTCACGTGACATTTTACATTTGAAAACTTGTTTTTGGAACACTTCATGTGACATTTCACATGTGAAAACGTGTTTTTGTAACACTTCACATGCTCCAAAACACATTATTTCACATCTGAAAACGTGTTTTTGGAACACTTCATGTGACATTACACATGTGACACTTTTGTTTTTGGTAACACTTTCACGTGATCACTAGTTTTCACATGTGCAATTTCTTGTGTTTTGTAACACTTCATGTGACATTTCAAATTTGAAAACACGTGTTTTTTGGAACATGTCACGTGACATTTTACATGTGAAAACATGTTTTTGGAACACTTCACATTTCACATGTGAGAACCTGTGTTTTTGGAACACTTTACATGTGACATTTTACATTTGAAATCATGTGAAAACACTTCACATGTGAAACTATGTGTTTTTAAAATTTCACATGTGATCACGTGCAATTTCATGTGTTATCGCTGTTCAGCTAAAGTATGACCCCACCTGGTCGTTGAAGTGACAACCTCTGGATTTTAAGTACACTGACCTTTCTGCTGTGCCACAAAGCTGAGATTGACTTTGAAGTCCAAAGTGTAGGAATACAGGTGAGTACCTAACAGTGTGTGCCATAAGTGCATCTGAAGTATCCTATAAGTATAACTGTAGAACCTGTCATTGGTTCTACCTGGAACCAGTAGGTTCTTCATGAGAGGGTTCTAAATGGAACTCAAAAGGTTCCCCTACAGGGACAAATCAAAGGGTTGTACGTGGCACCCAAAGGGGATTGATCCAAATACGGACAGACGATAAAACCATGGAACCAGAGGGTTCTTCATGTGAGGGTTCTACGTAGAACCCAATAGGTTCCCCTACAGGGACAAAACAGAGGGTTCTAAATAAAATCAAAGGGTTCTACATGGCACCCAAAAGGGTTCCCCCATAGGGACAAATGACAGAATGTCTATTGGTTCTAATATACAGGTAAAAGTCAGTAAATTAGAATATTTTGAAAAACTTGATTTATTTCAGTAATTGCATTCAAAAGGTGTAACTTGTACATTATATTTATTCATTGCACACAGACTGATGCATTCAAATGTTTATTTCATTTAATTTTGATGATTTGAAGTGGCAACAAATGAAAATCCAAAATTCCGTGTGTCACAAAATTAGAATATTGTGTAAGGGTTACATTTTGAAGACACCTGGTGCCACAAAATAATCAGCTGATTAACTCAAAACACCTGCAAAGGGCTTTAAATGGTCTCTCAGTCCAGTTCTGAAGCCTACACAAACATGGGGAAGACTTCAGATTTGACAGCTGTCCAAAAGGCGACCATCGACACATTGCACAAGGAGGGAAAGACACAAAAGGTTATTGCAGAAGAGGCTGGCTGTTCTCAGAGCTCTGTGTCCAAACACATTAATAGAGAGGCAAAGGGAAGGAAAAACTGTGGTCAGAAAAAGTGTACAAGCGATAGGGATCACCGCGCCCTAGTCAAGATTGTGAAAAAAAACCCATTCAAAAATGTGGGGGAGATTCACAAGGAGTGGACAGCTGCTGGAGTCAGGGCTTCAAGATCCACCACCAAGAGACGCTTGAAAGACATGGGTTTCAACTGCCGCATACCTCGTGTCAAGCCACTGTTGACCAAGAAACAGCGCGAAAAGCGTCTCACCTGGGCTAAGGAAAAAAAGAGCTGGACTGCTGCTGAGTGGTCTAAAGTCATGTTTTCTGACGAAAGCAAATTTTGCATTTCCTTTGGAAATCGAGGTCCCAGAGTCTGGAGGAAGACAGGAGAGGCACAGGATCCACGTTGCCTGAAGTCTAGTGTAAAGTTTCCACCATCAGTGATGGTTTGGGGTGCCATGTCATCTGCTGGTGTCGGTCCACTCTGTTTCCTGAGATCAAGGGTCAACGCAGCCGTCTACCAGCAAGTTTTAGAGCACTTCATGCTTCCTGCTGCTGACCTGCTCTATGGAGATGGAGATTTCAGGTTCCAACAGGACTTGGCGCCTGCACACAGCGCAAAATCTACCCGTGCCTGGTTTACGGACCATGGTATTTCTGTTCTAAATTGGCCAGCCAACTCCCCTGACCTTAGCCCCATAGAAAATCTGTGGGGTATTGTGAAAAGGAAGATGCAGAATGCCAGACCCAACAACGCAGAAGAGTTGAAGGCCACTATCAGAGCAACCTGGGCTCTCATAACACCTGAGCAGTGCCAGAAACTCATCGACTCCATGCCACGCCGCATTAATGCAGTAATTGAGGCAAAAGGAGCTCCAACCAAGTATTGAGTATTGTACATGCTCATATTTTTCATTTTCATACTTTTCAGTTGGCCAACATTTCTAAAAAATCCCTTTTTTGTATTAGCCTTAAGTAATATTCTAATTTTGTGACACACGGAATTTTGGATTTTCATTTGTTGCCACTTCAAATCATCAAAATTAAATGAAATAAACATTTGAATGCATCAGTCTGTGTGCAATGAATAAATATAATGTACAAGTTACACCTTTTGAATGCAATTACTGAAATAAATCAAGTTTTTCAAAATATTCTAATTTACTGACTTTTACCTGTATTAACAATCTCTGTCATAGCCACAGACCCGGTAGCGTTGCAGGAAGTTCAAGTCGCTGGCAACTGAGAGGTTATGAGTTCAAATCCCAAGTGAGGTTCACTCCAAAGTAATCAGAATACAGCAGCATACTGTCCCTTACAGCAATAATACCTTAATCCAGCTCTAAAAATACAGTAACTTTTTGTATATTTACCGTATTTTCATTGCAACCAGTAGCCGGGATATGTTGAACAGTGTAATGAAGAACCCTCTGGTTGTTCCAGTGTAATGAAGAACCCTCTGTTTCTAACAGTGTAATTAAGAACCATACAAATGGTTATACAAAGAACTGATGTAAATAGGTTCAAAGCCCAAAAAAGGGTACCCTACAGAAAAAAAAAGGGTACTAACTAGCACTTTTTTTTGCGTGTACCACAGGAAAAATAGTTGTTATGTAATTGGACTTGTTTAAGGCCACATTGTATATTTGGCTTCATCAAATACTTAAGGTTGAAGTGTATCTACCTACTGTATATATCGACAAATCTTTCTAACTACCAATCATTACGTTTTTTGTGTTCTCCTTGACCTGAGAGTATAGCGTGCAAATGAGACGTGAGTGAACGTGAAGGATGCAGGCAGCAGTGTCCACCATCGCCACATGCAACACGTGCAGTACACTCAACAATAACAAAAAATATCGAACTCTAGGGTAGCAGGCTGTACTCTGGAGGGTAGGGGTAGGGCACCCAGATTACTCACAATAAAGCACTATACGTGAACAGTTAAAACATTGTTTCATGTTCCAAGGCAGCAGAAAGAAAATACATAAAACGTTAGGGTCAGTAGATGTGGTCATCATAGTTATATGAGACAAGACAAGTGACTCTAGTCTAGGCACAATGTAGAAGAAGCCTGTTTGAAATCATGAAAGGAGAAAAACAAAACATATTTAAGACAGATCACACTTTTTTCGTTGTTGTCATGACAGGTCCCAGATCTGTTTGGACTGTTTTGCCAACTTCTATAGTCATTGTCATGCCAAACATGACAGATCTGGGACCAGGCTATATGTTGCTGTATCCTCAAGCTCTTAAATCAGAACATGTCTTTATTGAGTGCTACATGAAATATGAATAAATGTACGTCCCAAATGGCCCCCTATTCCCTATAGTGTGCACTACTTATGAGGGCTTTGGTCAAATGTAGTGCACTATATAGGGAATAAGGTGTAATTAGGGAGTCAGCCTAAGAACATCAATGGTGATTTATTTTCTGTAGACAGTTATTTGTGCACTTGATGCTTGTTTAAAGTAATCATATGGCCTTTCCTGAGGCAGAAGTTGCAGGGTTTTATCCTGTTGATTATTAATAAAGGACTTAACTAGTTTATACAAGTGACTATGTAGGTCATGTAAAGACAAAGGCTATGTCCCAAATGGCACCCTATTCCCAATATAATGCACTACTTTTGACCATAGTCCTATGGGCCCTGGTCAAAAGTAGTGCACTATAAAGGGAATAGGGTGCCACATGTCACACAGACAATGTAGTGACGCTATAATGTCTATGCTAATGTTAGCACTGCTCAAACCTAGACTCTAAACAAATGCCTGTCAACAGGCATCTGAAGAGGTGTTTATTCAACAACTTTGGAAGTTATTCTACATTAATAATATATAATATGTATAGAAATGTGTATAGTAGAACATACTGTATAATACATGTATAGTATACACATTGTTAAAATAGTTCTAATAAAAAAACATACTAACGCCTGGATCACACCGACAGCGTCATTGCGTTTTGGTACACCAGAAGTACATTCATTTCCAATGGAACGTTGCGTTTGCCTTGCAGCATTGCGTTGCAGAGGCAGTTGCAGTGCATTCTGTGTGGTGCATACGTTGGATTTATCGAATGTATGCTTCAAACTGTATGCGTAGACGGCTTGACAGAAATGGTTGCAGAATGTGAATGTTGAACTTTTGTTGCACACATCCAGATGATGCTGCGTACCATTTTAGACAATAACGCTGTAGGTGTGATCGAGGCGTAAGGCACAGTTTTATACAGTATCTACATGTACATATTAAAATATGCATGTGCATTAAAGACAAAGCTCAATAAATATTGTTATCAAAGAACAGTAAATAAATACTTACATCGTTTGCATCCACATTTCTTTATCCTTTTAGGATCTGTGATGTCATCGTGACAAGCTTTGCAGTAAAAAAGTGCCCTAAGAAAACAGCACACACATATTTCAGTATTTAATCATCAGTAAGTCCAAAAGTAATTGAACATATAGTAGTTTGATGTCAAACTGTATTTGGAGGCTTTCTGTCTCTTCTAACAGAGGCAATTAGGTACAGTTACCTACATTTACAGTACATTTATATCCTGATGCCTAGTCACCTTACCCCTATACATATCTACCTCTATCGATCCAGTATCCCTGCACATTGTAAATATGGTACTGGAACTGACCCAGGAACTGACCCTGTATATAGCTACTGACCCTGGAACTGACCCTGTATATAGTATACTTACTTACTTCATCATGTTCTTCTTATTTCTATATCTCGTGTTTTTGTTCTACCTTGTTATTTTTAGTATTACATTGTTATCGATTACTGCATTGTTGTGGTTAGAGCTTGCAAGAAAGGCATTTCACTGTACTTGTGCATGTGACATTAAAACTTGAAACTCTAAACATTTACATACCTCTTTACTTCTTTGGCATCACTGGCGATAAAAAAACCCAGGGTGCCTTCCTGCATCTTCACATGGTTCCCAGGGTTGATGAGGGTGCTGTTGTCAATACAAACAAATATCCATGGTCGTCAATGAGGAGAATCTTTCTGTTACATTTAACATCCTAATGCACTAATCACATGGAATGGTACACAAGGAACACCTTTCGGACAAACAAGGGTTGGTGAGGTACTGTAGTTCCTGGGAATCGAACTAAAAACAAATGCAGGTGTCACCAGTATTATAAAATGGCTACCCAACGAGAATTAAACAGTACCAAGTACTGAATAGAGAACCTCCACCTGTAGAGAATGGAAGTGACAATATGAGCATCCTCAGAGCTAACCCAGTGGCCAAAACGGGTTGTAATGACACCATTTCAACCAGCTTTGTCAGCTGGGAAGATGCTTGTATACTAATTAGCCGGTTCACCCCAGAACTGTTTGTGTACAAACAGCACAAACAGATTTGGGGCGATCAGGCTATTTGTATAAACCTGATGGTGCAGTAAACAAGCACTGGCTCTTTAAGAGGAACATCCACGCCACATCAATCCTCAGTAATTAGGTTAAGATGGTACATGGCAATGTTTTCAGTCTTTAATGATTTTAGATGGAAAGTAGTCATTGATGTTTATTTTCCATTGAGACTGTGACACTAATTAGGCCAAACACACAAGTCATGCTGTAATAAAAGAAGAGTTAATTGCAGAATTTCACACCTGCATACACATTAAACAGTAATCTGAAATTGGATGGTGGAAACATCAAACTAGAAATACGAATACAAATCTGAATAACAAATGTGACATGGATGACTCTGGGTCTGTTTGAAAGACAGCAGTGAACTGTGACCGTATGACAGAAACACTGGAAATTCACACAAAAAAGAACCGTTGAGATACGACATTTGAAGGGATAAAAGAGTGTAAATCAAGCTGACATTGGCCTGTACAGTACACACCAGCAGTGATAAGAGACCTGAAACCACCTGCAACAAAGTCAGGAAGTACACTGGCAAAACATTGACAGGAAATATTGAGTTGTATGTTCCTCAAAGTGGGCGAAGGCTAAACGTATTGAAGGTAAAAATAAAGAATATGGATGTCGGGGGCATACCACTTTCTTTTGTCAAACTTTGTCAACTTTCTGTAAACAATAGTGTTTCAAAAATGCCAATTAGTGATGAGTACTGTGTATGAAGTTGAAGTTGAAATCCATTACAATAGATCACAGTCAGGAAAGCTGTATTGTCATGGCAGTCTGGATATTGAGTTAATGTTAAAATTGATAACCTGTATTGTGCTGCATACCACTTGGTTCAACATGATTTTTACAATAACATTTCTGACAAACATCACATTTACATTTACATTTTAGTCATTTAGCAGACGCTCTTATCCAGAGCGACTTACAGTTAGTGAATACATATATATTTTTTTGTATTTTTTATTTTTTTCATACTGGTCCCCCGTGGGAATCGAACCCACAACCCTGGCGTTGCAAACACCATGCTCTATCAACTGAGCTACATCCCTGCCAGCCATTCCCTCCCCTACCCTGGACAACGCTAGGCCAATTGTGCGCCGCCCATGAGTCTCCCGGTCGCGGCCGGCTGCGACAGAGCCTGGATTCGAATCAGGATCTCTAGTGGCACAGCTAGCACTGCGATGCAGTGCCTTAGACCACTGCGCCACTCAGGATTGGCAATTTTTAATACACAAGTAGGAGTGAACTTTACCTGCTTTCCCTTATATCTGACTTGTACTCGATAGCAATCAGTAGCAGCTTTAGCTTCACATAGCAGAGTCTAGAGAGGAGCATTCAAAAACATAAATATTATATATATTAAATAAAACAAATATGATATTAAATAAAATATCAATATTATTACACAATCAAAGGGATGAGTAGGAGCGAGAGAGGAGAGACGAGAGAGAGAGAGACAGACAGAGGTAGAGAGAGAGAAGGAGAGAGGGAGGGATGGAGAGAGAAATACTATTTTTTTTAAAGATGGAGGGGGGAGAGAGAATATACTTGATATAGTAGGGTCCTTCAGAAAAGAGGGTCATACTTACTCACAAATGGTGGGGAAGGATAGGCCCACAAAGGCACTAGACAGGTACTCAGTGTACATTTCATTGGCTACTCCTTCCAGGTAATACTTCTGCCAGGTGTCCTCTTCAATCTGAAACAATAACAGATAAAACATGTCTTGCAAAGGTACAGTATGTTATCATGAACATATTTTATTTCAAGTAACACTTCAAGTGTAATTAAATATACGCTGTATATCTTAAATATAAGACAAGTTTTCTGAAATTGCAAATACAGTCAGACAAAGTGTGAACATTACTGTACTAAAGGCTGTGGAAAAGTGGAATAATGTTAGTTCAATATCTCTGCCTCTTCTTGGTCCTTCGAGACGGATTTGAACGAGCGACCTAACGATTACAGTCTCTTTGGCTCTCCCTAACAAGTACCTTGATGAAGGACCTCATGGAGAAGAGGTTGGCCAGCATGGTGGAGAGGCCCTGAGCCAGACAGCTCTGTGCTATGAAGCCCAGCTTCAGCTCAGCAAGGCAAATGGCATCGTCACCCTCCTTCCAGTTCCAACTGGGAATGTTCAGAAGGTGGGCCTGGGGAGATGCAGGAAAGATGCAGTGAGATTAGGGTTATACAATTCTTGTACATTTCCCAAAATTCCCAAGTTTTATTGAAATCCAGGTTGGAGGAACCTGAATTTCCTGCTTAATCCATTCTGATTCCGGGAATCTGGAAATATTGGGAATTTTAGGAAAGTTTCCCGAATTTTGCAACCTTACTATACAAGTAGAGAACTCATGTTCGCCTGCCTCCGCTGGAGTTCAATGACACAGTGTAATCAGTAGCACTCTGAAGGTTTTGTACTGTACACACCTTGTTGTGGTACTGCAACATCTGGGTAATGATTCTGATCTTTGGGTGGTAGTTCTTGATGGATATCACCCTGGAATATTGTTACAAGAAACAACGTAAGACCCATCTACCAAATCTAGGACACAGTAGTAGTAACACAGGTTTCTTGCTTAGGGAACTTGAGAGTAGACATTGGTATGTACAGTATGTATTATCAATGCATTTCTCCAGAATACATTCTCACATGCTCTCAAGCATACTGTACTTGCGTAATTTATCAAGGTGATAGAAAGTTGAATCAGTTTTGTATATCAGAATACATTTTCATATTTCCAATATACAGTTTTACAGCACAGCCTGGTTAAATTGTCTCTGTACCTCATGATGTTGGAGGCATCCTCAGCATCAGGGTCTGCACAGTATTTATTAGCTAGGATCAAACAGGCATCTGCTGACTCTATCTGAGGGCGGGAAATGACAGAGAGATAAGACCTGACTCTATACAGACAGAGGTTGTGTCCTAACTGGCAACCTATTCCCTACATAGTGCACTACTTCTGACACTGGTCAAATGTCGTGCACTACTGTATGTAGGGGAATAGGGTGGCATTTGGGAGGCAGACAGACTCAAGACATTAGACCGATGCCAACAACCCAGGTGCTCCATTTGTAGACACCAGAGATCAGAACTGCATTCACTCAGAGCTATGAACAGTATCATATGTCAAAGTGCATTCATTTCTAACTTCTATCAGACAAAGTATTATGCTCGTCGTATTTTATTTATTTACCCTTTATAAATATAAATAGTCCGAATACCCATATTAAAATAGTTGCCATTTTGGTTATGCGAAAATAGAACGTTTTACAGTATGTGAAATGTCGAAAATGTTGTATGCTTTAAATGCCAGGATGTCATACTAATTTCAGCTCTTCATCTAGTAAAATTCACTGCACACTATTGAGGAAGAGATTCCTCTTTCTAGACCCACGTGTGTTTGACAACAGCTGATAATCAAATATGGTTACACGCTGTACCAAAATGAGCGAATGGAGGTAATCAACGCAATTGCGCATTAGATGATGCATTCTCAATATGGATGAGCCTAGTATGTTTATTTGTTACTTACTGCAATCGATTTTAATGAACAGTATCTTCTAATGTAGTACGATTTGTACACAGTATGCCATTTAGTAAGTAGTAGGCAACACAGATTTTGGACACAGCCAATGACTTACCTGGCTGCTAAATTATGTGTCAATGAATGTTTGACAGTAAAAATATACACTATATACACTATATACACACACTACATGACCAAAAGTATGTGGACACCTGCTCGCCGAACATCTTATTCCAAAATCATGGGCATTAATATGGAGTTGGTCCCCCCTTTGCTGCTATAACAGCCTCCACTCTTCTGGGAAGAATTTCCACTAGATGTTGGAACATTGCTGCGGGGACTTGCTTCAATTCAGCCACAAGAGCATTATTGAGGTCGGGAACTGATGTTGGGCGATTAGGCCTGGCTCGCAGTTGGCGTTCCAATTCATCCCAAAGGTGTTCGATGGGGTTGAGGTCAGGGCTCTGAGCAGGCCAGTCAAGTTCTTCCACACCGACCTCAACAAACCATTTCTGTATGGACCTCGCTTTGTGCACGGGGGCATTGTCATGCTGAAACAGGAAAGGGCCTACCCCAAATTGTTGCCACAAAGTTGGAAGCACAGAATCATCTAGAATGTCATTGTATACTGTAGCGTTAAGATGTACCTTTACTGGAACTAAGGGGCCTAGCCCGAACCATGAAAAACAGCCCCAGACCATTATTCCTCCTCCACCAAACTTTACAGTTGGCACTATAAATTGGAGCAGGTAGCGTTTCCCTGGCATCTGCCAAACCCAGATTCGTCCATTGGACTGCCAGGTGAAGCATGATTCATCACTCCAGAGAACGCATTTCCACTGCTCCAGAGTCCAATGGCGGTGAGTTTTGCACCACTCCAGCCAACGCTTGGCATTGCACATGGTGATCTTAGGCTTGTGTGCAGCTTCTAGGCCATGGAAACCCATTTCATGAAGCTCCCGACAAACAGCTTTTGTGCTGACGTTGCTTCGAGAGGAAGTTTGGAACTCGGTAGTGAGTTTTGCAACCAAGGACAGATGATTTTTATTGTTGCTCCTAGACATTTCCATTTCACAGAGTGAAGGAAAAGCAGCCAACAAGTGCTCAGCATATGTGGGAACTCCTTCAAGACTGTTGGAAAAGCATTCCTCAAGCTGGTTGAGAGAATGCCAAGAGTGTGCAAAGCTGTCAAGGCAAAGAGTGGCTACTTTGAAGAATCTCCAATATAAAATATTTTGATTTGTTTAACACTTTTTTGGTTACTACATGATTCCATATGTTATTTCATAGTTTTGATGTCTTCACTATTATTATACAATGTAAAAAATATTAAAAATTAAGAAAAACCCTGGAATGAGTAGGTGTGTCCAAACTTTTGACGTACTGTGTATATATATATATATATATATATATATATATATATATATATATATATATATATATATAAACCCTTGTAAACGCTTTAGAAAAGGTAGCCATATTGTAAAGTGTGACCAAATGTACCAAGGACCTGGTATACTTCTTGAAGAGTTGGACTGTCAAGGCCCTCAAGGTCAAGTCAAGGTCTCCATTAGTAGCTGAAAGGAATAAGTCAGGTTAATACTCATTAAAACAGGCCGGTTACCTTGACTCTGGCCAGGTCATGTGGGTTGAGAACAGATCCCTGGTAGAACTCCACCTGGGTGAAGTGGCGTTTAAACAAGGCTTCCAGCTCAAGATTAGGGGAAATACTGGGACACAAAGTAAAGTTTGTTAATGTTAACCAAGGCCTCCACTCCACTCCACCTCAAGATTCGGTTTAGTACTGGGACAGACAGGAGAGCGATCTATGTGTTCATGTTAGGAGTCTGAGTGAGGTCTCCTCCCTCAGCAAGTCAAAGTGCAATTTATTGTGTAGTATTTGAAATGTAATTTATTCTAATGTATTGCTATAGGTGGTATGTTGGTGTACCCGGCAGGGCCGGTGCTACCAACAGTTTCCATGGATCTGGGTGCTTATTAGGATATAGTCATTGTAGAGTCTGAGTATTCCAAAAAAAGGAAAGGTGGTGGCAGTTCCCGAAAGGTTGTTGGAGTCATTTTTGGGAGCTGCTATCACCTTTCCTTCTCTGAAACACTCAGTATTGTTATGAGTTTTGGGGCCATTTTCCCAGATCCAGATTAAACATAGTCCTGTAATTAAACACACTTTCAATAGACTTTCAATGTCCCATTGAGTATGGTTTTTATTCCAGGACTAGGCTTAATCTGGGTCCGGGAAACTGGCCCGTAAAGTGTAAGGAAAGAACTTGGTACACTTACTTATGGAGAAAAACAATTTCTACATTGACATCATCCCTGTCCTTGTGTAGGAAGTCTTTAAGGAAGTTGGACACACTTTCAAGTGTTATATGACCACAGACCACGATGTGCCTATAGGAAATAAGATCCAGGAATAGTCATAAGATTTAAGCTATGGTTTGCTAAAAGCTGCAGCCAAAATAAAGACGCTGATGAACTGCTGATTGATGTCAGTGTCACGTTCTTTCTTGATTCTGAAAATAAAATGAAATTATACGTTGGATCTGACAAAAAAAGTGTCCACACCACAGTATAGTCAATTTAAAAAAGGACCTAAAAAATGTGGTTTCTGTGTAGAAAATGTACACTGCCAGCCCACTGTTTAATAACCCCCAAAATACATAATTCTCCCTTGTTTGTACATGTTCTGTGATGAACAGGAGTCCATTTTTATTTGTTATTTTTAACGTATCTATTTTTTACTTAACACTTATTTTTCTTAAAACTGCATTGTTGGTTAAGGGCTTGTAAGTAAGCATTTCACTGTTGTTTCCGGCGCATGTGGCAAATAAAATTTGATTTGAACAGGTGTCAGTACTAAGAGCTCTTTAGCCTATACAGTCAGCCCTGTGTGGGGCCTGAAGGACAGAGCTCTTTAGCCTATACAGTCAGCCCTGTGTGGGGCCTGTAGGACAGAGCTCTTTAGCCTATACAGTCAGCCCTGTGTGGGGCCTGAAGGACAGAGCTCTTTAGCCTATACAGTCAGCCCTGTGTGGGGCCTGAAGGACAGAGCTCTTTAGCCTATACAGTCAGCCCTGTGTGGGGCCTGAAGGACAGAGCTCTTTAGCCTATACAGTCAGCCCTGTGTGGGGCCTGTAGGACAGAGCTCTTTAGCCTATACAGTCAGCCCTGTGTGGGGCATGTAGGACAGAGCTCTTTAGCCTATACAGTCAGCCCTGTGTGGGGCCTGAAGGACACGAGAGATCACAGAGCAGAGCATGTTCTGGATTCCCAGTAACGGATTAAAAAGGATAAGAGTTTCCTTTGTTGGAGATTATGATGTGATTCCTACATTGTACAATCCAGAAAAGAGCTTATCTTTAGCTAGAGACATCTTGCCTCCACGTGAGGGTAGGTTTCCGTCAGACTGTATCCCTGCTCCAGGATAGTACATGCAGGATTGTGAGATAACGCCTCATCGTGAGATAAACTCAGGATGTGGTCAAGAAGGGCATTTTCCAAACCTATTGGTTTGATTTTGTAGATGTTACAAGTAATATATACAGTATCTCCCAAAAATATACAGTACCTCACATTTTTGTAAATATGAGTATATCTTTTCATGTGACAACACTGACGAAATGACACTTTGCTACAATGTAAAGTAGTGAGTGTACAGCTTGTATAACAGTGTAAATTTGCTGTCCCCTCAAAATAACTCAACACACAGCCATTAATGTCTAAACCGCTGGCAACAAATGTGAGTACACCCCTAAGTGAAAATGTCCAAATTGGGCCCAATTAGCCATTTTCCCTCCCCGGTGTCATGTGACTTGTTAGTGTTACAAGGTCTCAGGTGTGAATGGGGATCAGGTGTGTTAAATTTGGTGTCATCGCTCTCACACTCCCTCATACTGGTCACTGGAAGTTCAACATGGCACCTCATGGCAAAGAACTCTCTGAGGATCTGAAAAAAAGAATTGTTGCTCTACATAAAGATGGCCTGGGCTATAAGAAGATTGCCAAGACCCTGAAACTGAGCTGCAGCATGGTGGCCAAGACCATACAGCGGTTTAACAGGACAGGTTCCACTCAGAACAGGCCTCGCCATGGTCGACCAAAGAAGTTGAGTGCACGTGCTCAGCGTCATATCCAGAGGTTGTCTTTGGGAAATAGACGTATGAGTGCTGCCAGCATTGCTGCAGAGGTTGAAGGGGTGGGGGGTCAGCCTGTCAGTGCTCAGACCATACGCCGCACACTGCATCAAATTGGTCTGCATGGCTGTCGTCCCAGAAGGAAGCCTCTTCTAAAGATGATGCACAAGAAAGCCCGCAAACAGTTTGCTGAAGACAAGCAGACTAAGGACATGGATTACTGGAACCATGTCCTGTGGTCTGATGAGACCAAGATAAACTTATTTGGTTCAAATGGTGTCAAGCGTGTGTGGCGGCAACCAGGTGAGGAGTACAAAGACAAGTGTGTCTTGCCTACAGTCAAGCATGGTGGTGGAAATGTCATGGTCTGGGGCTGCATGAGTGCTGCCGGCACTGGGGAGCTACAGTTCATTGAGGGAACCATGAATGCCAACATGTACTGTGACATACTGAAGCAGAGCATGATCCCCTCCCTTCGGAGACTGGGCCACAGGGCAGTATTCCAACATAATAACGACCCCAAACACACCTGTAAGACGACCACTGCCTTGCTAAAGAAGCTGAGGGTAAAGGTGATGGACTGGCCAAGCATGTCTCCAGACCTAAACCCTATTGAGCATCTGTGGGGCATCCTCAAACGGAAGGTGGAGGAGTGCAAGGTCTCTAACATCCACCAGCTCCGTGATGTCGTCATGGAGGAGTGGAAGAGGACTCCAGTGGCAACCTGTGAAGCCCTGGTGAACTCCATGCCCAAGAGGGTTAAGGCAGAGCTGGAAAATGATGGTGGCCACACAAAATATTGACACTTTTGCCCCAATTTAGACATGTTCACTTAGGGGTGTACTCACTTTTGTTGCCAGCGGTTTAGACATTAATGGCTGTGTGTTGTGTTATTTTGAGGGGACAGCAAATTTACACTGTTATACAAGCTGTACGCTCACTACTTTACATTGTAGCAAAGTGTCATTTCTTCAGTGTTGTCACATGAAAAGATATACTCATATTTACAAAAATGTGAGGGGTGTACTCACTTTTGTGAGATACTGTACATACTGACAACTCACATACTGTACATTGTTTTGAAATATCTCTTTAATATTGTATCTTATTAGGGTTAAGGGTGGCAGGTAGCCTAGCGGTTAGGAGTGTTGGGCCAGTAACCGAAAGGTCATTGGTTCAATTCCCTGAGCCGACTAGGTGAAAAATCTGTCAAAGTGCCCTTGAGCAAGGCACTTATCCCTAATTGCTCCAAGGAAAACCCACTCTGTGGAAGTGGGATATACAAAAAATGAATTTCCAATTCACACTTATTACATTTCTTATTTATTGTATCTTATTTACTTTATATAATTGGGGCTTTTATTACATAAATATTACAGAGATGCTATATTTATATTTGTATATGAAAAGGTATTAAAAAGGTATTGACAGCATAACTGAGACATAAGAATATGAATTACTTGAAACAGCAATACAGATACATCAGCATGCAGAAGAAAGGACGGTTTAAATGGCCAAAACAGAGTTAAAGAGACTGGACTAAAACCAAGTCCAAAAATTCTACACAACAAAGAAAACAACACAAAATTCTAAAAGCGAGCCAAAAGAAATCTAAGTATGTTCAGAGGGTGGAGGCATCCAGGGATTTAGGGCAGAATCCTAATGTACCTTGAGAAACTTGAATTTCTGTGTGATCCATGCATTTATTGATGTCAATGGGAAATTTGCGTGGAAATCGGAGTTATGCGCACACATCTCAAGGTAGTGTTTGGCCCTTCGGGTGTAGGTCTGACTGAAGATTAAGGCCAGGAATGTAGCAGGGCTTGGAAAATAAAATGAACTGGTGGTACCAGACAAAAAATTATAGAATCCAGAAGGGAAAAAAACAGGAAATTAAAGGCGAAATATAAAAGGCTAAAAAATAACTAAAAGCAAGCGAGGAACATTGAAGAGCATGTGTGGACTAAGCAGATGTAAAAGGTAGGTATCCAACCGCATTTCAAATCATCTGGAAGACAATTATATTTAGACTAGCTGATTATTTAACTGTAGGTAGTCCCTTCTTGTAAGTCTGTTTCTTAGGACACTCTTTCGCTATTGTGCAGTATTATTTATGACATCATCTCTGTCACCAAGATATAGGACATAATGTTCAAAAATGAATATTGAAATATTATAAAGGTACTACAGCTATAGCTGCAATCAAGCCTAACTTTACTGTAACTTTACTGAAAAAAAATGCTAATCTTTGCATTGTGGTGGGTGGCAAGATGCATATGATTGGCAAACACAAAACAGACACAAACATGTAAGCGTTCTAGTAAATAAACAAGTAAAACACTCAAGCATATACAGTGGGGAGAACAAGTATTTGATACACTGCCGATTTTGCAGGTTTTCCTACTTACAAAGCATGTAGAGGTCTGTAATTTTTATCATAGGTACACTTCAACTGTGAGAGACGGAATCTAAAACAAAAATCCAGAAAATCACATTGTATGATTTTTAAGTAATTAATTTGCATTTTATTGCATGACATAAGTATTTGATCACCTACCAACCAGTAAGAATTCCGGCTCTCACAGACCTGTTAGTTTTTCTTTAAGAAGCCCTCCTGTTCTACACTCATTACCTGTATTAACTGCACCTGTTTGAACTCGTTACCTGTATAAAAGACACCTGTCCACACACTCAATCAAACAGACTCCAACCTCTCCACAATGGCCAAGACCAGAAAGCTGTGTAAGGACATCAGGGATAAAATTGTAGACCTGCACAAGGCTGGGATGGGCTACAGGACAATAGGCAAGCAGCTTGGTGAGAAGGCAACAACTGTTGGCGCAATTCTTAGAAAATGGAAGAAGTACAAGATGACGGTCAATCACCCTCGGTCTGGGGCTCCATGCAAGATCTCACCTCGTGGGGCATCAATGATCATGAGGAAGGTGAGGGATCAGCCCAGAACTACACGGCAGGACCTGGTCAATGACCTGAAGAGAGCTGGGACCACAGTCTCAAAGAAAACCATTAGTAACACACTACGCCGTCATGGATTAAAATCCTGCAGCGCACGCAAGGTCCCCCTGCTCAAGCCAGCGCATGTCCAGGCCCGTCTGAAGTTTGCCAATGACCATCTGGATGATCCAGAGGAGGAATGGGAGAAGGTCATGTGGTCTGATGAGACAAAAATATAGCTTTTTGGTCTAAACTCCACTCGCCGTGTTTGGAGGAAGAAGAAGGATGAGTACAACCCCAAGAACACCATCCCAACCGTGAAGCATGGAGGTGGAAACATCATTCTTTGGGGATGCTTTTCTGCAAAGGGGACAGGACGACTGCACCATATTGAGGGGAGGATGGATGGGGCCATGTATCGCGAGATCTTGGCCAACAACCTCCTTCCCTCAGTAAGAGCATTGAAGATGGGTCATGGCTGGGTCTTCCAGCATGACAACGACCCGAAACACACAGCCAGGGCAACTAAGGAGTGGCTCCGTAAGAAGCATTTCAAGGTCCTGGAGTGGCCTAGCCAGTCTCCAGACCTGAACCGAATAGAAAATCTTTGGAGGGAGCTGAAAGTCCGTATTGCCCAGCGACAGCCCCGAAACCTGAAGGATCTGGAGAAGGTCTGTATGGAGGAGTGGGCCAAAATCCCTGCTGCAGTGTGTGCAAACCTGGTCAAGACCTACAGGAAACGTATGATCTCTGTAATTGCAAACAAAGGTTTCTGTACCAAATATTAAGTTCTGCTTTTCTGATGTATCAAATACTTATGTCATGCAATAAAATGCAAATTATTAATTAAAAATCATACAATGTGATTTTCTGGATTTTTTTTGCATGCTTACATTTGACTTGACAGTTGAATTGTACCTATGATAAAAATTACAGACCTCTACATGCTTTGTAAGTAGGAAAACCTGCAAAATCGGCAGTGTATCAAATACTTGTTCTCCCCACTGTAGCAAATAATGCTTTGACACATCACAAAAAAACATTTACTCATTATAACAAGCAATGACAGCTAGCACACAAATACCGGTATAAAGCAATTGCGTAAGCTTTCATGGCCAAGCTCTCCAGTCACCAGACTTTATTCCCCAAAATTTCTAAACGTTTTAATATCAACCATTTCAGGATAATTACTTGTACCCCTCTTTAGGAGAGGGGGACTTGAGAAGTCACACCAAAACCACACCTTTTAGAATAATTTTTTCTTTTGTATATTTGTTTGACTTACTTTCTGCCTCGGGTCGAGTTATAACTCCCTCCGTATTTCTTCCGATTAAGGATGAGAGCAGCAATTTCTGGCACGTAGCGAGCAAACATGGCCTACATGCATGAAACAGAGAAAGAAAAGGGCATGCAGAGGATGGTTCTACTGCGGCAGAGGCAGTAGAGCCTCCCAGTAATACTTACTTTCTCCCATTAACCGCACTATAGGAACCACCATATTTCTTGCGGTTTCCTATTAACTCTATGATTTCAGGGACGTAGCTCGCAAACATGGCCTAAGGAGAAGATAGGAGACAGAAGAAAATACTAAAAAAAAAAGATACGCAAAAGAGAGCAGGGCGTCTATTTTTGCTTAAAAGATATCCGTAAAATCTAAAAAAAAAAGCTAGAAAAATTAAGAGACAAAAATAAATAAATAGTGTGTACAAAACATTAGGAACACATGCTCTTTCCATGACATAGACTGACCAGGTAAATCCAGGTGAAAGCTATGATCCCTTATTGATATCACGTGTTAAATCCACTTCAATCAGTGTAAATGAAGGGGAGATTCTAAGCCATGAGACAATTAAAACATGGATTGTGTATGTGTGCCATTCAGAGGGTGAATGGGCAAGACAAAATATGTAAGTGCCTTTGAACAGGCTATGGTAGTATGTGCCAGGCGCACCGGTTTGTCCTGCTGGGTTTTTCACACTCAACAGTTTCCCCTGTGTATCAAGAATGTTCCACCACTGAAAGGACATCCAGCCAACTTCACACAACTGTGGGAAGCATTGGAGACAACATGGGCCAGCATCCCAACCTGGTGTCAGAGCATTTTGTATTATTCTGTATGTAAATCCAAGACATTCCATTTAGTATGATATGTTACGTTTCGTATGGTATGTATTAATTTGTGGATGTACGTTACAATTCGTATTATATGTTACGATTTGCCTAAACGTACAATATGTTACGAATTTGCCAACGTATGATATGTTACGAATTCTAATTCATAACATATCATACGAAATGGGTGATGAACATCCACAAATTAATACATACCATATATAACGTAACATATCATACTAAATGGAATGTCCTCGGATTTACATACAGAATAATATGAAATGCTCTGACACCAGGTTGGGATGCTGGCCCATGTTGACCCCAATGCTTCCCACAGTTGTGTCAAGTTGGCTGGATGTCCAGTTGTGTCAAGTTGGCTAGGTGGCTAATGTTAGGTAGCTGGCTAACGTTAGCTAGGCTAGGGGTTAGCGGTTAGGGTTACGGTTAGGGTTAAGTTTAGGAGTTCGGTTAAAGGGTTAGGGTTAGGGGAAGGGTTAGCTAAAAGGGTTAAGGTTAGGGTTAGGGGAAGGGTTAGCTAACATGCAAAGTAGCTAAAAAGTAGTAAGTAGTTGAAAAGTTGCTAATTAAATTAACTAAAATGCTAAAGTTTTCCATGATGAGATTAGAACGTAACCTACTTTCGTTTTTGCCTTAAGTAACCATCGGTCTTATGTAACCGTCTGTCCCGGATTTACATTTACTATGTTACGTCTAGTCTATGAGACCAGGCTGAGCATCCCTGTGGAATGCTTTGGACAACTTGTAGAGTCCATGCCCCGACGAATTGAGGTTGTTCTGAGGGCAAAAGGGGGTGCAACTCAATATTAGGAAGGTGTTCTTAATGTTTTGTACACTCAGACAAAGTTAAGATTACTACACTAAAGTAAAAGTTATAACACAATCTGAAATTATGTAAAGGTTATCATATTCAGATTCTAGAAAAAAAGGTATGATAAGCAATGAAGAAGAAAAAAATGTCAGGAAATATTTAACTTAACCAGCTTTTACGGATATGTATTTAGGAAAAGAGCAGGAAAAAAGTACAGTTGACTATATCTGTATGCCAAGCTGTGACTGAAAAAGTTGAAAGTAATAAAAACGAAGAAAAAAACCTTATATGCCATGTTTTGTCCAACAAACACTTATGCCAGGTTGATTTGAATAGTACAGCCCAATGTAACATAGCTGCAAATTACATCAATTCATTAAATTGCTGAAAAATTATCTGAGTTATTTGTCAATCCTATAGATTTGAAGCCTTGTGCATGCTTACATTTGACTTGACAGTATATACAACTTATATATAACTTATATATTGTATACATTTATATAAACTATATAATATAACTTACATAAACGTATATAAACTTGACGCATCATATTGTTAATGTCACTCTGATAATACTTAGGTACATTTTTAAGTCGGTCTGGATAAGAGCGTCTGCTAAATGATGTAAATGTAAATGTAATAAAGGATAATAAAGGCCTTTCAGTGACCCTTGACCCTCAGAACTACTGCAGTTGTACTGTACTAATGTGAAAACTAAGCCTTCTTCCATTGTTATCCCAAATATAAATAATCAAGTCAAATCAACATATTAAAAGTTAAATGGTTTTGGTTGCATATCATGCTAACTGACTGTTGTGTATCAATGTGTGTTACTGGCATACACTGCTGTGTTAACCATCAAGCTGGTCTATAGATCACTCCTTTCACTGTGTTTGTTGGAATCTGGGGAAGGGGAAGCTCAAGGATTGGGTCACCTGAAACCGCACATTACTTTAGTTAACGGTGCGAACCATTATAAAACAAATCTTACTCCGTTTGAACAATATAGAAATGCAATAAAACTATACAATAATAATAAATATAAATGTATATACCTTCAGTACAATTATTATATAATAAGTATTATAGGCATATAATACTTACAAATAATAATACATTTGACAATAAACTGCCATGGGTAACAATAAACTGCCACAAAAAACTACAAGACAACAATGGAGCTTTGATTTTAACAGGCGTTGAAGTGCAAATACTTTCCAGCTGTTGGTAGCAGCAGCAGGGACATTAATCATGATGATTGGAGGTGTGATCATATGGATGAAGGACTGAAGCAGGAATAAATGAAATAAAGAGGGGTTTTTACCAAACCACCAAGGATGAAGAAGACCATGAAAAGTCGTCCCAGGGTGGTTTTTGCATACACGTCTCCATAGCCCACAGTGGACATAGTAACCATGAGCAAGTAGACACATTCCCAGTAGGAAAGTGCTTGGGAATTTTGGAAGTTTTCCCAAGGATCCCCTGAGTTTTCCACCTAGAACAGAGGTCACAATAATGGATATAGAAAGAGAGGAACATGCAGAGCATTTTTCATGTACTCAATCCTGTATTACAACTTACTGACTTGCTTACATACTTACGCAATGGCCGTCTCCGAATACCCATACTTGCGTTCTAAATAGTAGGCATTTTGGGTATGCAACAAAAGTTTTATATTATGTGAAATTTAGAAAATTGAGAATGCTTTAAATGCTAGGATGTCATACTAATTTCGTCTTTTTCATCTAGTAAATTTCACACTATTGAGGAATAGAATCGTCCACGTGTGTCTGACAACAGCTGACAATCAGCTGAGGGTACGTGCTGTACCAAAATGAACGAATGGCGGGAATCAACGCAATTTGCGCATTAGATAGCGCATTCTCAGTAGGATGAGACTATTATGCTGATGTTTGCTTACTGCATTCGTTTTTACTTAACAGTACGTTCCAAATAGTATGTAGTACGATTAGTACACAGTATGCAGTTTTAGTAAGTAGTAGCCAAGACAGATTTCGGACACGGCCACTTCATTATTTACTTGATTGTTTACTTACGGACTTATTCACTTAGTCACGCCGTATCAATTATTTACTGTTCTCAGAACCACTTTAAAGGGGCTAGGTTGTACAATACTTTACTTAACATTATGTCCACCCATCTGTTAGATGTGTCAGAGACTGAGTATTTACCATAATACAGTACTTAGCCCTTCTGTTCTTTATGGCTCTCTGTAACTTACCAGATGTATGAAGCCTGCCGCTGTTAGCCATGTACTTATGAAGATTGAACATAAGTTCACCAGTTTTATGGAATTGCTATTGAAAACAAGAGAGCCAGACAATATCAATTAACACCAAAAGATCTTTGTGTGAGTTCAAAAGAAGAGCACCAGTACAGCATGCCCATTTGATAACACAATGAATAATTGGTAACACTAACTCGAACTATTATGTCAAAACAGTGCCAAAATATTGTCATGAATATTATATATCACAAAGTAGTTTCGCTGCCCTAGTTATTGCTATATAAGTGCCTAATGGAGATTTTGTCTGAAGAACATCCTTTGGGATAACGGATGATAGCTGGTTACAGTCTGAGCTGCTCAACCCACAGTATTATGTAACCGCAACAAAGCAAAAACTTGGTAAATACGTTTTTTAAAATATTATTTAAAAATCCAACATTTAAAACTAATGACGAACTAGCTTTCATGGCCGTTCACTTTTCAATACAGAATCAACTGTGAATACAAATGTTCCTAATGTATATACAGGTAACTGCCAAAATATAGGAAACACCAACATAAAGTGTGTTAATAGAGCATTGGGCCACCATGAGCCAGAACAGCTTCAATGCACCTTGGCATAGATTCTACAAGTATCTGGAACTCTGTTGGAGGGATGCAACACCATTCTTCCACGAGAAATTCCATCATTTGGTGTTTTGTTGATGGTGGTGGAAAACGCTGTCTCAGGCACCACTCCAGAATCTCCCATAAGTGTTCAATTGGGTTGAGATCTGGTGACTGAGACGGCCATGACATATGGTTTACATCGTTTTCATGCTCATCAAACCATTCAGTGACCACCCTTGCTCTGTGGATGGGGGTATTGTCATCCTGGAAGAGACCACTCCCATCTGGATAGAAATGATTAATCATAGGTTGAAGGTCATCACTCACAATGGCAGTGTATTTATTGACATTTACCTTGCCCTCCAAGGCAGGGTTTCCCAAACTCGGTCCTCGGGATCCCAAGGGGTGCACGCTTTGGTTTTTGCCCTAGCACTACACAGCTAATTGAAATAATCAACTAAGCATCAAGCTTTGATAATTTCAATCAGCTGTGTAGTGTTAGGGCAAAAACCAAAGCGTGCACCCCCTGGGGTCTCGAGGACCGAGTTTGGGAAACGCTGCTCTAAGGGGTTGAGTGGACCATGCCAGGAGAATGCACCCCACACCATAACAGAGTCGCCAGAACCCTCATTTACTCAATTGTTTCCTTTATTTTGTCAGTTAACTGTATATTTCTAAAGTAATGTTACAGTGACTTGCATTGTTCTGGCCAGTCTAAGAATGGCCTGACCCCAGTCCACTCATGTACTGTGTGTTCTGGCCTTACCTCCATTATAGTAAACAAGTCTGGGGATTATTCCAGAAAAAATGTTGAGCTATAAGCTCTTCCTGACATCTGTGCAGCACAAGCTTTAATTTTAAGCAGTGGGGTAAATTGTAGAATTCATCAAGCTGCATGATGTCCAATATGTTTCAAAGAGCAGAATCACGTGGCACACATGCACAATTTGGAATTTCAATGAAAAATATTGAAGTGAATATTGGATATAGGATATGTTATACATCCTAAAGAACAATACCTAACATGTTAGCATTTCAGTTTTTAAAAGTGACAAAAATGATTTGCTTGTTATCACAGAAGTACAGTATGATATAATATGGTAATTTCTTTCATTCCCCAGATATGACAGGAATATACCAAACTGTTCCCAACTGACTGAAAGTAGGTCATGCTCAGTTGACTAGTTTCCAAGAAAACAATTATTTGATCCAATAACAAAGTTGGAACAAAGTTGGACAAGTTCTGAGAGGAGGTTCTATATTTAAAAATTTACAGTAGCTACTTAACCAATAAGGCCCGAGGGTGTGTGGTATATGGCGAATATACCACGGCTAAGGACTGTTCTTACGCCTTTAGCCGTGGTATATTGACCATATTCCACAAATCCCAAGGTGCCTTATTGCTATTATAAACTGGTTACCAACGTAATTAGAGCAGTAAAAATACATGTTTTGTCATTCCTGTGGAATACGGTCTGATATACCACGGCTATCAGCCAATCAGCATTCAGGGCTCGAACCACCCAGTTTATAATTAAAGGCTGCTATATCAGAAGAGCCCGTGAGTGTATTATATAATTGTAACTGTATCAATATTCATCACAGAGCCAGAATTACAAACATTGTCATAACATAGTGCATGCAAATGCTTTGAATACTACTAACTAGAATTAATAAACATTGAATTTTACTGAAATTGAATACACTGAAATTGGAGAAAATAATAATGCACTTACCTTGTTTTTAATATGTTCAAAAACTGTAAGATTTCTGAGAACTGTATCAATCTTAAGGCCCTTAAAAACCTCAAGCCTGTGTGAGAGAAAAGTAAAAGTAGAAGTTACTCAGAGTGAATTATTTGCATGTTATTTACATAAGTCCGCCTACAGTAAATCCGGTAAAAACACAGGAAACCAACACATAATTGCATACCTTTGAAGCCTTCATCCATCTTTAAAAGCTTAAATGAATTCATGATTAATAGCAAACTAAAGGCCTCTAAAAAATATATATATATATAGACCTAAAAAAAAAAAAATGCAGCGACGAAGCAAGTAGCAGCAACTACAAAAAAGTATTTAAAAACCTTACTAAAAACAACAAACTCTGCATCAAATAATCTTCTGAAGAAAATAAATACAATGCTAATATCAGGAGACTCACTAAGTGACAAAGCACCAGCGTCTACCAGATCCATTTTTCATTACTAAGGACTAAAAGAACGAAACAGCAAGAGATGAAAACCTGGATTAGTCAGACTAAAGACAGGTGGATAAACCCAGTTAGATGGATCAACAGTCGCATTACGTCAAATAATCCCACATTTGTAGCCATTTGTTTTTTAAATCTGCTAAATCTGAGTACCCTTCCAAGAGTTTAAGGACAAAGGTGCACCAATGAATTGCCAAATGCTGTCGCATGTGTGTGTGTGGCACAGGCCACACACACACACACACACACACACACACACACACACACACACAAAACCAAACAGCCTGTGGCTAGTCGTGCTCACCAGTATTATCTAATCATCCAACAGTTCAATGAGAAAGAATGAATTGCTTATTTTTATAGCACAAAAGTCTGTTTCAGTACGGCACGCAACAGTATGTCAATCCCACAATCCCCTGGGTTAACTATGTGTACTACAACACATGTGCAGTAGATGTAGACCTACTGTATTGTCAATGTTGTGTCACCTAGAATATATAATTACATTTTAATTTTTTTAAATGACAATATATTGTATTTTCCTCCATTATCAATTATTATTGTCCATAATTTCCTAAATTATAAAATCAGATTATGTTACTCATAATACAGTTTTTTCAATCGCTTTTTTACAAGTATGTGGTAACCTCTTATGTGGTAAATTCACATTGCAATTCATGTTCATATGGAATACTTGCTTTTCACAATGCGATGCTCACATTACTTTTGATATGATTGTCTTCTCAGTTATTAAAATAAATTGTACTCTTACTTAATCAAATTTCTCTTAATTGATAATCACTTACCCGTTTGGTAAACCTATAGATTTTAAACTGTTTTGTCTACTATATACATATGTCGACACCTACAGAACTAAAATGTATGTTTGCAAAGTATAAAGGTATAAAGTACGATATATACAGTGAGGGAAAAAAGTATTTGATCCCCTGCTGATTTTGTACGTTTGCCCACTGACAAAGACATGATCAGTCTATAATTTGAATGGTAGGTTTATGTGAACAGTGAGAGACAGAATAACAACAACAAAATCCAGAAAAACGCATGTCAAAAATGTTATAAATTGATTTGCATTTTAATGAGGGAAATAAGTATTTGACCCCTCTGCAAAACATGACTTAGTACTTGGTGGCAAAACCCTTGTTGGCAATCACAGAGGTCAGACATTTCTTGTAGTTGGCCACCAGGTTTGCACACATCTCAGGAGGGATTTTGTCCCACTCCTCTTTGCAGATCTTCTCCAAGTCATTAAGGTTTCGAAGCTGACGTTTGGCAACTCGAACCTTCAGCTCCCTCCACAGATTTTCTATGGGATTAAGGTCTGGAAACTGGCTAGGTCACTCCAGGACCTTAATGTGCTTCTCCTTGAGCCACTCCTTTGTTGCCTTTGCCGTGTGTTTTGGGTCATTGTCATGCTGAAATACCATCCACAACCCATTTTCAATGCCCTGGCTGAGGGAAGGAGGTTCTCGCCCAAGATTTGACGGTACATGGCCCCGTCCATTGTCCCTTTGATGCGGTGAAGTTGTCCTGTCCCCTTAGCAGAAAAACACCCCCAAAGCATAATGTTTCCAACTCCATGTTTGACGGTGGGGATGGTGTTCTTGGGGTCATAGGCAGCATTCCTCCCCTACAAACACGGCGAGTTGAGTTGATGCCAAAGAGCTCCATTTTGGTCTCATCTGACCACAACACTTTCACCCAGTTCTCCTCTGAATCATTCAGATGTTCATTGGCAAACTTCAGACGGCCCTGTATATGTACTTTCTTGAGCAGGGGGACCTTGCGGGCGCTGCAGGATTTCAGTCCTTCACGGCGTAGTGTGTTACCAATTATTTTCTTGGTGACTATGTTCCCAGCTGCCTTGAGATCATAGAGGTCCTGGATGTCAGGGAGCTCGACCCCAGCACCTTGTATGCCAAGCAGTTTCCATACCAAGCGGTAAAGCAGCCAGTCAAGATGCTCTCAACGGTGCAGCTGTAGAACTATTTGAGGATCTGGGGGCCCATGCCGAATCTTTTCAGCCTCCTGAGGGGGAAGAGGTGTTGTCGTGCCCTCTTCAGGACTGTGTTGGTGTGTGTGGACCATGATAATTCCTCCTGAGTGGCGCAGTGGTCTAAGGCACTGCATCGCAGTGTTAACTGTGCCACTAGAGATCCTGGTTCGAATCCAGGCTCTGTCGCAGCCGGCCGCGACCGGGAGACTCATGGGCGGCGCACAATTGGCCCAGCG